CTTCTCCTTCTCCTTCTCCTTCTCCTTCTCCTTCTCCTTCTCCTTCTCCTTCTCCTTCTCCTTCTCCTTCTCCTTCTCCTTCTCCTTCTCCTTCTTCTCTTCCTTCTCCTCCTCGTGCTTCTTCTTCTTTCCCTCTTCTTCCCCTTCTTCCTCTTCTTCCTCTTCTTTCTCTCCTCCTCCTCCTTTTCTTTATCACCATTGTGTTTTGGTTTGATTTCCGTGGTCCTGTGCATGTGCTGATCCTTTTTATAAATTTTGGTCTGCCCCAAAATAGCTGCTCTTTTCTGCTCCAGCAGCTCCAAGCATGCAGAGCACAGGGAAAGGGTTGTACAACCACCCTGAGAGCAGCCCCGGCACCACCCAGATGTGCAAACCAAGAGATTCACCTCCAGCCCACGGGGAACTGCCCTGAGCTGTGTTAGAGCATCGTGGCACAGGGACAAGGCTCAGAAAAAGGAGAGACAGGGACTTTTTATACAGACAAAGAATGCCAGGACAAGGGGAACAGTTTTAAACCAAAAGAGGGCAGGTTTGGTTTAGATTTGAGGAAGAAATTCTGCCCTGTGAGGGTGGGGAGGCCCTGGCACAGGGTGCCCAGAGAAGCTGTGGCTGCCCCTGGATCCCTGGAAGTGTCCAAGGCCAGGTTGGACAGAGCTTGGAGCACCCTGGGGTAGTGGAAGGTGTCTCTGTCCATGGCAGGGGATGGAACAAGATGATCTTTAAATTCCCCTCCAACCCAACCATTCTGTGATTCTGTGAGTCTGTGATTCTGTGATTCTGTGAGTCTGTGATTCTGTGATTCTGTGAGTCTGTGATTCATTCTATGATCTGCAAGAGGAAGGGATGGCAAAGTATCAGATGAGCCCAGAGCACGGACCACAGCCCATGAACCTAGAAACGGCCTCAAATAACAGAAACTGAAATGATTTTATGCTTTTTTCAATCAAAAAACTCCATATTATTTCGAGTCGGATCCCACGGCCACCCTGGGAAATGTTGCTGCTGCAGTTTCCATTTTCCGCTGTGTAAAAGTCACTCTGAACTCTGACAGCTTGTTTATGACTCCTGTAATTCCACACAAACCCCTTTTTCTTGTTGACACTCTGGGTTTTGTGGGTGGGAGGGGGTTCTGCAGTGTTTTAAAAATCCACACGCAGGAAATGCTTTGTTAAATCAGCRTCAATCCCTGAGCAGAGGCTGTGGYGAGCAGGAAAGCTGGGTTGGTGGGAAGGGTGGATTTGGGCGTGGGAGCGTGACAGACCCCTTTGTTTAGGGGGTGAAATGCCCCACCACACACCCAGGTGTGCATCACCCTTTTCTGGGAACCACCTGGATCCAAAGGAGTGAATTCTTCTTTCAGATCCCTTGTTTGTTGTTGCGCTGTACGATTTTCCTGCCTCGAGTGACCGTGACTTGGAGCTGGTCAAGGGTGAGAAACTCCAGGTCCTCTCCAAGTAAGTGACCTGCTGCCCTGAGGAAATTCAGAAATGAGCACAGGGAGGCTGAGAAAGGGGGAAACCTTGGGGTCAGCCACCACTGTGCTTTGGCTTTGCTCCAGCATGGCTGTGCCCTCTTCTCTCTGCATGGTGACACTTTCTTGGGTCACAGATCCTCTAGGGCTGGATATTGTCCCTGCCTGGTGGCACTGGGACCTTCTCTGCTGTCCGTGGGTGCAGAAGTAGCGTAAATAACAACAACCAAAAAAAGAAAAACCCCAGCTCCTGTCCTGAGTTTGTGCTGATTGTGCTTCTGCAAAGGATGTGGGTTGGGTGTAGTCAGAGGAAAGGACAGAACTGAGCCAGAGACTTGAGAGGTTTCATTTCAGCTTCTCAAACTTACCACAGAAGAGGCCCAGACCAGGGCAGAGGTGGGCTTGGGGTCCCCAGAGTCTGTGGTGCTGCTGTGAGGTGACCTTCAGAGGTGACATTTCTCACCCAGATGCCATGGGCTGAGATCCGTGGGACACAGAGAAGAAACCCCCGTGTGGGGATGGCTTTGGGTTGTGGCTGTTGGCTCAGCCAACAGTGGGAGAGCAAAGCAGGGTGTCTGGAGGATGAAGGAGCTAAAAGGACCCTCAGTGTCCCTATTCAAGAGACAAAAGAACTCTGTGACCCAGATTTTCCTCCTCTCACTTGAGGTGTGTAGCAAATGTTTGGGTCTGTGGTCACCCCACTTTCATGGAAAGAAACTGTCAACTCCACAAGTCCCTCAAACACCAACAGCCCCCAAAATTGGTCCTTGGGAATCTGGAGGGATCTGGAAAGGAGCCCTTGTCCCTCTGCAGTGCTCAAACCCCACAATCCACATCCTCAGAGCCTCAGCTTGGCACAAAACCCCCTCTGGGCACTCACGATTTTCCCTCTGCTCCCTTTGCAGTGAGGGCGAGTGGTGGCTGGCAAAATCCCTGAGCACTGGGAGGAAAGGATACATCCCCAGCAACTTCGTGGCACAAGTGGACAGTTTGGAAGAGGAAAAGTAAGTGGGAAAGCTTTTGAGTGCTGAACATGAATGCAGTGCCCTGGATCCCAGCAAACTCCAGGATGATCTTTATTAATGGCAGGAAGATGGCACTGCTGGGCTGGGTGGCAGGAGGTCTTTCCTCATCCCAAACAATGCAAATTTTAAGCATCATTTGGTGTGGAAAGAGAAGATGAGGTTTTAACTGGAAAAAGGGCAAAGGCTCTTGTCCCACTAATTTTTCCCATTGTGAGAAATAAGGATTTGGGGTGGGGGACAACATAAAGGTGATGGTGGCAGTGTCAAGGACCATCCTCTGGGCCACTGGGCCAATCCACCATCACAAATGGCATCAAACCTCTTCACCCTCCAAGAGAACATCCATAAACTGGGAATCTCTGGATGGGGTGCATTGATCCAGGCCTTGGATGTGCCAGGGACAGCACCAACAATTTAACAGGACAGCCAAGTGCCAATGCCCAGACCCACAATTCTGGATTTTCAATGAGCCCAGATGCAGCCTCCCTGCAAGGAAGGTGGAAACAAAACCTTGAGTCAAAGGAGTTTGTTTTGCCTGCAATACAAACAGCAGGGGAATTTTTTTCCATGAGTTCTCCTCCTCTCTGGTATTCAGCTCTAAATGCTCAGTCCTGCCTGCAATCTCCTCTTGGAGGGACCCAACCATCACTGAGTTCTACAAATATTCAGCAGTGCACAGAAATGTGGCTGAGACATAAAAGCTCTTTGTACCCAAAGCCTGAACTTCCCCTGTGTATGAGATCCTGCATATCCCATCTACTTCCTTCTCTCTCTGAATTTCCAGGCTATGAAACAAGCACAAAAGGACCAAAATCTGATGTTAATCTACCCAAAACTGTCTATTATTGCCACTTTCCATCATATAGCACACTATTTGCTGATAAAAATAATCCTCAGTTTCACAGTGTAATGGCAAAAAAATAGAACTAATTGGAAAAAAAAATCCACTTTTTTTAGAGATTTTCCTTTTCAAGTGATGATTTCTCCTTTTCTCCTTCTCAGGTGGTATTTTAGAACTCTGAGCAGAAAAGATGCTGAACGGCTGCTGCTGTCTTCTGGGAACAAAGTTGGCTCTTTCCTCGTCCGGGAGAGCGAAACCACCAAAGGTGAGATCTGTGGAGCAAATATAACTCCTCGTTATTGCCTGGGCTTGGAAAACCTTCAGCAGGGGTCTGGGAATGAGTTGAGGGTTTGGAGGGCAAAGATTTCCTCATGATGCCACTCAAATGTGCAGTTCTGGCTCTGGTAAAAGTGGCCCTTCCACCAGAGCTCATGGCAGAGACACAGGAACACAAATATGCAGATTTTCCCAAAGAGTTTAGGGGTTTTATTTCCCTTTTTTGCATCAGGAACTTGGAAAAAGTAATTTCCCAGGGCAACCATGTTTTTCCCGATAATCTGTAGCAAGGGGAAATAATACAAACCAGAACTTTTGGAAGGAGATTGACTGGAGCAGGAGAGACGGATTTCATCCCCTTTTCTTCCATATGAACCTGTTGAGTTCTGAAGAAATGATCCAACGAGGGTGGAAAGGGCAGAGAGCATTGGTTACTTATTTTGGGCAGTGGATATCACTATTAATCATAATATTTAACCACATATTTTCAATTTCTTTGTTCCACACCTTTAATCTGTAGAGTCTGGGACTTAGTTCAGGTTATCCCACGGGGATTTCACATTGTTTTTTTCCTGCTTTTTCCTCCTTGCTTTCTCTGGCCTGTCATGTGTGTTTACAGCACAGAGGAAATGATGCTCATGGTTCTGCTCCAAACTAGACCCATCTGTTTTCCTTACCCATGATGTGTATTTTCATTAATTGTGCACACCACCAGCAAAATGTGACCATCAGGGCCAAGCACTGGGCTGAGCTAATCCCCATCTTGAACTGGGAGGTGGTTGTCTCACACTGGGATGTCTCAGGCACAGCGGGATGGGTTCTGCACCCTAAAAGCAGCACCTATTCCCAGCCCATCCTGAGCAGAGTCCCATTTTCCTCGTTTGAGATGCAGAAACTTCACAAATATTCAGAGCCAACATTTCCCAGAGTGCACGAGAGGCATGTTCAGCATCCTGGGAAGATGGGGACGGTGTGGGAAGCAGGCAGCAGTGAAATCATCRCTGGAGCTCTGTCCTTGACGAAGCTGCTGCAAATAAACAAAGTCCCCCTGAAGTAATCATCATTCCAAAAGCTGCAGGAACACATTCCCCAGCTGTGCTGAGCCACAGGCTCCTGGATCCCAGCAGGATTCCTGCATTCCTGCTCCCAGCAGGAGGGACCTTGCTGAGCTCAGCCCCTGCGTCCGCTCTTCCCATCGGGAAGCAGTCAAGGAGCTGCTGAGAGCCACAACAGCAGGAAATGTCCCCAAATGCCACATCCAYGTGGCTTTTAAACCCTTCTGGGCATGGGGACTCCACCACTGCCCTGGGCAGCTGTGCCAGGGCTGAAYAAYCTTTWTGGAGAAGAAATTGTTCCATAAATTTTTTGCTCTGGACTCTTTGCCTGCCTATGTCTGTGCCAGGATGTGGTGCAGAACTGTAGGACAGGTGAATGYCCCTTCTAGCTGAGGAGCAAGAACTCTTTTTATCTATCCTGGATATCATCAGGGGTAATTAGGAGTCCACTTAATGATTTTCATTT